TATATATATATATATTTATATACAGTATATTCTTCATACAAGTTTGAATAAATACTCAAATCAAAATTTGCAAAAGTGCCAGATATTCATGAGCAATATCTCTGCTACTGAAAGTCTGTAATTGCTTGTTTTAAGAGGAGATCATAGGATTTGTATTAGGAGGCTAGTAGTAATTGATTGCTAGTGTTTGTAAATGCATTCTGTACTAGATACTAATAATTATCTCAGTAACTACCATCTCTAAAGCACTCTTACTGTAATTGTTGTAAGATCATCAATGTCTTGTGCGATTTTACATTATGCACTTAAAGGACCACATCTAATATGTTCCCAAATATACACTATTACTGAACTATGGAAACTGTAACATAAGCTTCCATTAGCAGTCAGATTTAAAGTGAACCTGAGCTACATTCTTGATGATATAGAGGATAAAGATGGGCTAAAATACTAGAGGATATATCTTCTTCACTTTGTTTTAAATACTTTCTTTGCTACTGCATTATTTCGATATAAGAACTAATAAATAACTATATTCTTGTTTTGTTTTTATTATTCAACAGAATCAGGTTTATTTATTACATTTTGCACAGGACTGGTGCCCCTAGATGGCGTTGGGGAGTGTAGCAATTTTCTATACTCTTCAGCACCATCTACCATCTAGGGGTTCTAGTGCCATGTGAACAGCATCTGCCCAGCTTTATGCTGGGGGGAAGTATTTTAAAAAATAAATGAGAGGAATTTTAAAGATAAATGACTTGTGCAACTTTCAACGTTTGTTTCTAAATTTTTATAGTTGTCAGTTCTCATTTACAACTGAGTTACTTGTATGCAAATTAGGCTAGCACTTAATACATCTTTAATTTTGAATAGAGTGAAGGAAGGGTTATTGCTATGTGTGATTTCATTAGAGTGTTTTTTCTTCATTTTCCGTTTCTTTTACATCCGGACAAGAAATGAGGAAAATATGGGTCTCCTGGACAGAAAAACACAGGCAGCTATGCAAACCTCATAGAGTTTCAAACCTTTCCCTTTTAAAAATATATTTGTTGCTGTCTCTGTTCTCATTGGAGAGCTTTCCCATCATTTCCCTTTTCTCCAAACCACCCCCGCCCCAAAAAACAATTATGGGAAGTGTCACACAGCAAATAAAGGGAATGTGCCCAAATGGGATTATCAGAGTCGGAAATATATATGTGTAAAAACAAACCCTGACAAAGGTGCTAACGATTCTGCACTCCATTCAAAATAAAACAACATTTTGGCTGGGGTGGAATGTGTTTTAAATGTAAAAAAACCTATGACAGCTTCACAGGTTACTTTACCGAGTGGACAATACAGACACAAGTCAGGAAGCTTTATTTTAAAGCAGAACATTAGCCAAAACTAAGAGTGTTGAATTGTAAATCTTTTGTCAAGTTTTTATGTCCCCATTGGACAGATTACCCTTTATTTTCCTTCATATTATATTATATTACTTTCCTTCATATTATATTAAAAAACAATGTCAAGAAATGTGTGATCAGTGAGTAAGCCTATTTTATTTCTATACACATTATAAGAGGACATAGTCAGGCATTTTCACCTTAATGCTAGACCATTTCAACAATCAAATGATCACATATTAATGGCAGCATTTTACACAGTGATGATTCTGTGCCATCGATGTGCATGACATTAGCATGACAAATTAAGGTGAAATTGAGTATCCACACATCCACAACTATCACTTGGTTGAACACCCTGTGTCCCTTTTCTAGGGTTAACTATTTATACATTTTTACAAAAACATAAGTAGGGGGCGAGAATGAGAATCTAACCTTTCCACTTATTTCTTTAGCTAAAAGAATTTGAATTCTGCTAGAATTTTGCTAAAAAGTATTTTGGATAAAGCTATACTTTAATGTGTTTGCTAAAGCCTTCTTTTCTGCAAAGTGACCTCCCAAAATGTAAAAGCCCATAATCAGTAATATTGGCTACATGCCTCAGCTTTGTGTAGCCACTCTGCATTAAGCAGGAGTGACTCCTTAAATTTAGAGCTGTCAGACTGCGGAAAGTCTGATCCTGATTTGATAGTGTGTGCTCATTTGGTTTCTCCGAAGCTCTTTGTTATTGTTTGCATCGGCCTGATGTTGGGTGTGACCTTGCAATAGGACAGAACAACTGATAATGGTGCATTATGAATATATGTGTTTCCCTAGCCATTCACTAGGAGGTTCATGGCCAGTGGTGCGTGCTGGAGGGGGGACATAAACCTTGTAAGAGTTTCACGGGCCTCCTGCCTAAGGGAGAGATGCTGTGGATTCTCTGACACTTCTAGACCTGCTGCCTAGAAAGGGAAGCAAAGTGCTCAGACTGAGACTTGGGTCTGATGCCTAGTGAGTGATGCTTGAGGATGGAGATGACATGCAGCAACTTCAGCAGGTACATGGAGCATAAGAAATCAATCCTTTACTGAAGCATGGAGATCTATTCTGAGATGGACTAGTAGCTATTACATCAAGTACTACACAGTCAGAACCTCAAGACACAGATTGATCCAATCGGCTTAAATGTCCTCTATCTGTGAAGGCTGCAAGTACTTTGTTCTATCATTTTTGGAGTCTACTACATCCTGGGTGTCCTATGCCCTAATCCTTTCTCCCACAGTTCTTCAATAAAAGTTCATTAGCATCATATCAACTGTGTGGAAATCAGTTTTATCGGTCACTACTGGAGGGTGGATAAGTGCTGTTGGGGCATCAATGCAACAGTAAACCCTATGTCAGATAGAGTGTGATCAATAACCAGGGCTTGAAAAATTTGATAGTGTCTCACCAGTCAGTCAAAAATTTCACCAGTCAGCATGTCCGGACTATAGCCTTGCAATTTATGTTAAAAAAGTTTGGGGACAGATAGAGAAATAACCCACACAAGGTAGAAATGCTACAAAGTTATGTTCAAGTGGCCCGGGGGGCTGTACTTTGCCCTGAATGGGGAAAGCAGCCCTGCTTGTAATAAATTTAATTCTGGGCATTCAGTTCTAGAGTCCAACTTCTGGAATACATATAATAGGATGCTTAATAGACTCATACAATGAAAAATACTTTCAATACACACCTCAAATTTTCATTCCACCCGTTTCATATCTGAATGAATATTTACTGTGTTAAACAGGGCTGTGATAACCAGGTCAGACCCAAAATAAGCTTAAATTGCCTTGTAATTGGCACATGTGTGGGTAGCTTGAAATACTTCCAGGGGAGCTGCCTTGCCTGAACAAAAAGAAGAGAATGTACTTGCAAGGCTAATTAAATACCATTGATGTACTGCTAGCAGCAGTAAGAGCACATTAAAACATGTGAATTTTGCAATGAGAAAAAAAGGGATAATAGTTTAATATCCTAATTATTATGCTATTGTTATTACTTAATGAGCAGGATTTGTGCCAGTGTATGCTGCAATTTACATTACATATTTGCCAAAATGAGTTTAATCATTGAATTGGGTTGAATGGTTTAAACCGGGTACCACATCCCCAACAAAAATTAGGCTTGAAAATTCTACATATTTTGAATGCAACTTTTTAGGTACCAAAACATACAAATACAACAATAAGTATAACAGATTTTTTTTGTTATTGATATGAAATCTTGAAAACACTTAGGGACATGTAAAAATTGTTCATTCTACTGGATATAATAAACACACAAAATATTCATATTCCACGTCCTTAGATAGCCTTAAGGAAATCACTGTCTAGCTTTCTTATATATTCATACAGAATTTTGTTTCTCACATATACCATAACAATAAGACTGAATTTATTTCCATGAATAATGTGCTGATTCTTGA